AGAGTGTGGGCGGGGCCCGAATCTCCTAGACAGTGGAGTGTTGGCGGGGCCCAAATCTCCTAGACAGCAGAGTGTGGGCGGGGCCCGAATCTCCTAGAGAGCGGAGTGTGGGCGGGGCCCGAATCTCCTAGACAGCGGAGTGTGGGCGGGGCCCGAATCTCCTAGACAGCAGAGTGTGGGTGGGGCCCGAATCTCCTAGACAGCGGAGTGTGGGCGGGGCCCGAATCTCTTAGAGAGTGGAGTATGGGCGGGGCTCGAATCTCCATGAGAGTGGGCGGGGCCCGTATCTCCTAGTTGCATGTTATGTGTATGGTATGTGGTAGTTTGGGGAGACTCACTAAGCTTCGTGCTTACAGTTTTTAGTTTTGGTTTCAGGTACTTCGGTTTTCAAAAGAGGAGCTCGGGATGATTGCAGTGCACACACCATTTGTTCAGCCTGGGATGTTTATACTCTGATATATTGACATATGTTATGATATTCTTGAGATACACGATTTATGATTTTTACATGTTGAATGATAATTATGGTTTTATTAATGATTTAAAACGAAATTTTTAGACTGTATTTTTGGGAAGTTTCATAAAGCCCACGACTTTATGGATTAAGATACCTTGATTTGCTCAGATCTATAGTTGGAGTGTTTGTCTTATTGGATTAAGACCAAAAGAAGTAAGAAATGGGAGTCTGAGGAGTATGTCGTGCGTACTCCCAACTACGCACATCGTAGGTATGAGATCCCCCGTCACATGCATAGCCAGCGGTACGTGCATCGAAGGGAGTTGTACGCCCAACGTAAGGAGTTGTACGCCCAACGTACTCGTTAGGTGTTGACTTTGGGTTGACTTTTGCTTATTTTGACTTTTAGGTCAAAATTTAGGGTTTGGACCTAGGGAAGGGCCAAATGGTCCTTTTTTCCCTTAGTGGGCTTAGCTGTGGACTTGGACTCGTGTGGTAGTAATGGGCCTTAATTATTAATTAAGGGTAATTTATTTGGTTGAATAGGGAGAGTCTAGATCCGATAGTTTAGGTGCTAGGTTTTCGTGTCATTAGTATCAGGTGACTCTCCTCACTTACGTAGGATAACTGTAATATTATGACCAGCTAGGTCTAGCTGTTATGTTATGTTATGCTATGCTATGTTATGTGTTAATATGATATTTGTTTAGTTGGGGCTGCTGTTAGCCAACCGGGGGTTGCAGATAACCTCCCGAGCATGCTGTTAGCTCACCGGGACTGTTGATAGTCCCAGGGTTGCAGATAACCCAAAGATGTTTATTTATGCAGAGTTATATGTGGTATATTGGGGAACTCACTAAGCTTTGTGCTTACAGTTGTTGATTTATATGTGGTAGGTACTTCGCAGGACCGTGGGAAGGCGAAGGTCTGATTGTACACATGCACTGGGAATTTACTACTGGGACATGATCTTTTATGTACTCTGATAACTATGACACTTGTGGTTTTAGGATGACTTGTACTTGCTATTTGGTTGTGAAACTATGTTTTTAGATGTTTTAAAAATGAAAATTTTGGTCTAAAATTTGAGGTGTTACAGTTTCAGTATCGTTCAAATGATAAGCCAAAACGAACTGATCATAACAAGGTGGCAAGGAGTTGAGGATCATGTTAATGGCCAACTCCTCATTGAAATTCACATTTAGCCTTTCAAGGCGCTCCACGTATCTCTGCATTCTTTGCACGTGATTGCAGACCGACTCTCCTTCCTTCAACTTGCAAGCCATTATTGCTTTGACGACCTTATACGTTTATTGACGATCTCTCTTGTGAAACTTTCCACAAGATCCAAGTTCATCTCGTATGGGCAGTAGTCCTCATAGAACCTTTGCAACTCAGGAATCATGATGGCAACCATGATGCAAGCAACCTTTCTTGCATCGTGATAATGTTTCTTATAGGAGATGATCTTTTCAGGAGTAGCAGTGGACTCATCGGTCTCAATAAGTTGTTTTTCAAGGACATACTCTTTACCCTCGAGTCAAAGAGCCATCTTGATGTTACACATCCAATCATTGTAGTTGGTACCAACCAACATCACCTTGGATACGATCAAAAGTAGCGAGAAGTTCGAGTTATGGGTGGAGGTTTGAGGAGCAGAAGCATCACTAGGAGTAGACATCTATAGAGAAAAAGTAGTTTTAGTTAGATGAAAATAATCCTAAATATTTTAACCCATAATTAATATTTAAGGCTAGGACCCAACTGTGCAATGCACAATCTAGAAGAGGGGTGCCGTAATCTAATTGTAAATTTTATAGAGGTAGGTAAAGGCAATTTACCAATTTCAATCAAAATAAAACTCCTAGATCTTTTGAGATTCATTAAATGTATAAATGGCATGTTTAATCTCAAATTATGCTCTTCTATTTGTGGCTGAGACACCGATGATCACAAACAAGATGTGAATAACCATGCAAAATATGCTTGGCAACCTCGATGCCATTTATCATCTCTAATTGATGTGTTGGTTAACCACACACACTCCATCAACAATAATAGTTTCCGAGATGCCCATTACTACTCTTTATAGTCACTATTAGTGTTTTGGTTAACCACACACACTCCACTGACTACATATAAAGCATAATATGCAATTTCATGGATTAGCATACTTTTCACATTTTTCCTAAAATAAGTAGAGTGAAATATTCAAAATAACTTTGTTACTTTATATCATTATACTTATTAATGAGATTATGTCCTATCAAATCCATTCGGCTAACGAACCTCCACCATACAAGGGAGTGGTGGGTGAGAGTGGACACCCAATAATGGTCATTTTACAGGCTGCTTCCTTATACCCCTTATAGTATGGCTTCGTGAATGAGGCGTACTAGTGATTTGATTGACTTGTCTTATACATATAATATATTAAACTTTTAATAGTATAGTATATAAGGTGTATTTTAAAACTTTTCTAAAACACTGGGTTTAATATTAAAATTTTGAAATTAATAAAAAAGTAATTTAATTTAAAATTAAACCAATTATGATTAAATCTTTATCTTTTAATTAAAAGATAATTAAATTAAGTTAAATCACATGAGGATTAAATAATTGTTTAGTATTAAACTATTAATTAAAATTTGAAATTAATCTTAATCCATACCCTAATAACTTTTGAAAAATTAGGGTATTGGTGTTATCCAATTTTAAATATTCTATTTTAACCAATTAAAACAAAAATGATCAAATAAGGAAACCCTAACGAACCCTAATGATTTTCGAAATCAAGGGAGGAGGCTAGTGTTTCAAGAACCCTAGCCCAAGTTGAAAATTCAAAGCCTTAGGGTTTAATTTCTATAAACCCTAATTTGATCTACTCAACTATTATGCATATTCAATTGAAAACAATGAGCTCTGATACCATTGATAGATTTTATAGGTTACAAAAAATTCATGTGGCATAACTTAACTCTTAAGTTCGCATGCAACCTAATTGGATCTATGTTTTCACTATTGAATGCTATAATCTATTGGACATCAAAGAACCCTATAAAATCCTAGTATTATCGAAATTAATAAAAGAGTTAGGGTTTACATATCTTTGATTATTATTGAAAATAATCAATCAAATCCTTTCTTCAAAAGCTTCCAGAAAGTAAGCTCCAGAAATCTTGTGTTTCTGATGGTTCACACCCAAACCGTAGCAACTAAGAAAACTTGAGGAGAGAGGAGAATGGATGAAAATTCGGCTATCCTTCTAGGATTATGAGTGGCCGAAAATTGATTGTATAAGGACCCTATTTATAGTTGACAGAAAAACCCTACAAACCTTAATTGGAAATAAAATAATATTATTTCAAAGTCAGAATTATCTGGTTTCCTAATTATCCATATTATCTATATGAAATAATCTAGAAACCGTAAGAGAGTCTCCAATTTTCGGCCAACCCTACAATCTTTTTAGAATTCTTCTCTTGTTTACTTAGTGAACAGTTACAGATTTACTCCTTGCACTTTTAATTAATCAAATTAATCCTAAAATTAATTGTAATTAATTTCTGATTAATTCTTAATAAATAATATTATTTCTATTTAATATATTAATCTCATAATATATTAATAAATCATTTATTATTATTTATTAATATTATAAAAGATCAATAAATAAACTTATCTCTCTAAAAAACATTCTAGTCTATTATTAGGTTTAAGGGCAATAAAAAAAGAATTGCTAATAATTCAAGTATATATACCAATTTAGTTATTAGCTTAGACATATAATCCAACATATATATTATTGGTATTAATATTATTTTTTTAGTTCAAAATTGTAATTAATAATTTTAATTAATGTTATTTTAAATTGTAGTTTTGAAATCTTAATTTCATGCTAATTATTCTTTTACAAAATAATAATAAATAAAAAACTAATATATGATATAACAATCCATTGAATTATATATATATATATATATATATATATATATATATATATTAATTTTGAGATACCCTTGTGAACAATACCTAACCATGGTACTGTTCATCAGGTTTCTCCACCAGGGTTACTTCCACCTACTGGATCTCCTCTCAATACTTCTCAAACCTTTCTTTCCCACCGCCACTATTCTCTACCGCCTTAGGCGGCTGTCATTCGATAAATCCTTTCCTGCGTCTTCTTCAACCTCCTCACCCCAACCCTACACGATTTAAGGTAATTATTTTTTTACAAAATAATAATAAATAAAAAAATAATATATGATATAGCAATCCATTGAATTATGTAAATTTAAATTAAATGTAAAATTTAATAGATAAAATTATATAATGATTGGAATGCAATCCATTGAACTCATATAAACTCAATGCAACTATATGGTCTAAGTGTAGTGGGTTCAATTATGTTATATTTTGTTTTTATGCCTACAAGATACATGAAAACGAAAAATAATTTCTTAAAGTTGTTTTGTCCACGTGGAATTAGTGTGACACGTTATGGGACGATGAGACAAAAACATAACTTTGATGAATGAGGATGGTAACTTATAAAATGCTCCAATAAATTAACTTTTTCATTTAACTATGGTACATCATCGATCAAGTACAGGGAAACAGAAAACGATAGACGAAGAATTGAAAGGCATACATTCGAGGTCCTGAGTACACTTGGACTTTCGGGTTCATGTAGACAATAAAATATATATAAAACAAATGACAAATGGGATTCTTTGGAAGCATTTCTAGTTCCCATGAGTAGATTTCGACATGAAAGCTTTAATAATGGGCCTTACTCTCTCTGTTGCTTTAATAGAACAAAAGAGTATTATCCTGTATGCGACAGCCATACCAAACAAGATGCCAAGATCAATCCACTTAGAAACTCCGGTCGCGATGTGCAATGCACTGTTCAATATCATCTCACCATCAACTGTAGGAGGACCTCCCACATACTGAGGAAACATTAGCCCTTTAAACTCATTTTTGTATAATCCTTGTAATCCGTACCTGTGGAGTGAAATATAGTACAAAGGGTATTTCCAGAAGAAATATGGTAGATCGTTTGGCAAACGAAAGAACCCTGCACCCAGTATCATCAAACCTACGATCCCAGCACCAGAAATGATGCCCATGAGCAAATTTGGAACAACAGAAGCTACGAGCATCATAAGACCTTCAACCAACAACATTGACACAAAGACAACTAATGAGAAATAGATGAATAGCCTGGGTTCTCGTTGAAGCCCAACGAGGAAGTAAGCTATAGCTCCTGGGATTAAAGAGATGACAAGTAGGTATGGCGTTGAGGAGATGGTATGGCTGACAACAAATGATCCAACCCCGTAGTGCCCATTTAATCTTTCCAAATGAAAAACCTAAATACATGATACATGAAGTATCGATTAAAAAGTAATTATAAGTTCAAGCTGTACATGCATTTTGTTTATCTAAAAACACCTAAGATATGTCAACGAACCTTCATTTCCTCCACGAAAGACGGGAACCCACCAATGGCTAAAAGGGTCAGGAATGTAGAAACAAACATGAGCATTGAAATCCTAGCCTATGTTATTAAGAACCAAAATAAACAATCTTAATTAGTACTTAATAATAGATGAACGGAAACATAATACCAAAAAAAAAAAAAAAAAAAAAAACTAATTGGGTATTTTTTTTAATGAATCAAGCTTGAAATTTTCTATTAACTTTCCTTAATTAAAGATCCATGTTTTCAATAACATTCAACAACTCAGAAAAATCTGCTATTTAATAAAAACTGGGAAATCAACACACCCATGTGTGTGACCGTTTGTTCTTCAATTCAACTCCTATAAAAGATTTTTTTTTTTTTTTTTTTCAGAAAAGAGGGTTTTTAATAAAAAATAAAAATTATGCAAACAATCTACTGTATTAGAGTTGTTACATTTACAACATAAAACTTACATTTACTGAGTCGAATCCCAAACCAATTTGGTAAAAGAGTGTTCCTAATGCCACACCCAAACCAATATATATACCAAGTCGCAACCAGTAATATCCTAGATCACGATACATGTTTATGAACGACCTTTCCGTTAGCACTAAACATTGTGTAATGAAATTGGCTTGCAGGCTTCCTTTTTTCTCAATGACGTCTCCTTCCTTCAAAAAATACATTTTTCATTATCCGTAAATTCACTAAATGTAAACTTTAGTTTTATGAAAGAATAAAGAAAGCATAGTGTACTATACCACTCCACATAGTGTAGCTATATCACAACGGACTTTCTTATATATATTAGATGACTTGTAGGATTCTGCTAGTACTTCGATTACTTTCTCAACAGGAATCTTTCCACCAACTGTATCCTAATAATGGACAAAAAAAAAAGACGAAATTTTTTATCAACATATAACAAGAACTTTGTGGTGCAAGCAGGGCTGATAATTAGGATTCATCATCAGGATTCAAATGCCCAGGACGAACCGGAAAGAAAGGCTCTTAGACCATATAACGATTGATCGTGTATCACTCCTGGTGGTGCGTGCATGTGTGGTGGATTGGTCAATTAACAGATCTAGAGTCTGGACTATCGCTTATGATTGGGCCCGAATATAATATATAAAAAATATTAAAATTTTTGGCGCTAAAGAATTGAGCCCTGTATAACTGTCCAGTTTGTCCCCTGGCCTTGGGTGGAAGAAAAGTTCCATATAAAACAAGGATACAATGGTTATGTTAGATATATGCAAAATTCTTTTGATGATTCCAACACATATATAAGCAAATTAATGGGACCAGGTCTTACCCTATTTAGGACTCTAACACGTCCTATAATTTGACACGAAGGCTCGATGTTAAGGACATGAGGATGCTAGACTTGTCTCTAATGTGTAATGCCCTTAATGAGATAGTTGAATAAGGTGATATTCAAATGAATTAAAGTCTTCAACTATGGGATGTCATGTTGACATTACATGGGTATAAATCTACGTACAATTATACATAATTAAGTTATTGTGGGTTCTTAGTGTTTTCTTATTATTATTTTTTTTCTCTCTCTGGTGTTGCATCTTGCTGCTGACTTGGGTTTTTTAATAAAATTTTGCTGGTTCAAAAAAAAAAAAAAAAAAAAAAAAAAAAAAAAAAAAACCACACTAGACTTAATTATGTAGAATTGTACAATGATGCTGATTTATTCGTCGACATATGACCCAGCATAACAATAAATTCTGCGAAATTTATTACATTCATAATACACCGAAAAGTTATGGTACCTCATTAAAATCCGTATTTATAGTCATGAGGTAATGATCTGCAGGATTTTGTAGATCTGGACAAGGAAAACCATTTACTGCAAAAAACTGGATAAAAACAACAAAAGTAGTATATTATTCATTTGTTTCTGATATATCTATTTGTTATAATGTTTCAAATGATCATAATTAATATGAAGGTAACCTGGTTTGCTGCAAAAGTAGGACCAAAGTACACTGCTTTCCCCAAAGAGAGAAGACAGAGATTGTTGAAAAGCCCGAAAACTTGACTACTAGGTTGATGAATGGCTGTTAAAACCGTCATCTGGTATTCGTGAGTGAGCTTCACAATCTGGTTCATGACATAGTATGATGATGCGCTGTCAAGACCACTTGTAGGCTCATCAAGCAACAGAATCTTGGGGTGTGTCAAGAGTTCTAAACAGATGCTTAGACGCCGCTTTTGACCACCACTAAGTCCTTTGATTCCCCAGCCTCCGATTCTAGTGTTGATAGAATCTTGAAGTCCCATCTCCCTTATAATTCTATCAGCTCTCTGCCTTTTTTCTGATTTTGCCATCAACTTAGGCAGCTGAAGTTCAGCTGAGTAGTATACTGTTTCCTTAACCGTTAGAGTCCATGTTAGAACTTGTTCTTGAGCCATATACGACTGCAATATTTTAAAAGCAACTGTAAGCATGCATGAATGAGAATCTGCATGTGAGAGCATCCAAAAATCAAGAAGCGATGCCCTCTAAAATAAAAATCAAGAAGCGATACCCTCTAAATTTACAACCTTTTGTTATTTGGTTTATTTCTTTATTATGTATGTTGCATCTGAATTAACGCAAAAGTAGTTCATTAGAGGATTTTGCCATTACCATTGTACCATATGTAAGTCTTTGTTTACGACCATTGATTAGAATTCGTCCACTACTGTGCCTTATGTTTGAAGCTAAGCGCCCTGCATGTGCACAATGTTGATCTGGTAAGATTGCTATATATATATATATATATATATATATATATATATATATATATATATATATATATATATATATATATATATATATATATATATATAATATTGTATATTTGTCTTAACACTGTTCTAGGGAAAAGACGTAATATCTACTTAATGGAAATTATCTTTAGCATGCATTTGGAAACAACCTTTAATTAATTAATGTACTATTACATACCAGCCAAAGAATCAAGGAGAGTGGACTTGCCACAGCCGGAAGGGCCCATAATGGCAACAATCTCTCCTGGTTTAGCATATCCAGTAACACCAGTGAGTATTTGTTCGTTGCCTACACTCCTCTTAGAGCTTGAAACAGATACCCCAATATCCTCCCACGTTAAGTAGGCTCCACTCTGCGTTTTTTTCATCACTGGGAACTCAGACTCAACAATCTGGATGCCCCATCCTCCTGTTTCTGGTTCTGGTTCTGGACATATTCCATTGTTGTGTATCAAACTGCCCATGCAGAATCAACGATCAAAAAATAGAGATTTACAAAGATATTACGGGAGAGAGAGCCAAGTCTTGAGTAGTGTGGAAGTGAGGAGGAGTATCGTGGGATATATATATATATATATATATATATATATATATATATATATATATATATATATATATATATATATATATATATATATATATATATATATATATATAAGTTAAATTGAGAAAATAAAAAAGGTTGAGAATGGGGAATCATTCTCAGCCACTTATTTATTTTTGCCGCAAAAGCCTCCGTTGTACCAGCGGAAATGGATAAGAAATACACATGTGTTTCCAAGAAAATATGTTTCCTTAAACTATGTTAATCATTACCTTAATATATACAAAAACATAGTTTTTTTTTTTTTTTTTTTTTTTTTTTTTTTTGCGTTTTTTTAATTTTTATGAAGCTATTTTTATCGAAAAATAATTTTAAATATATCAAAATTCATGATTTTTTATTCTCTACAAATAGACATTCATATTGATATACTTTTAAGATAAAATAAATTTTTTTTTTATATTTTCAGCTATCGTTATTCATAAATGAATAAAAATGCATCAGATTTTTGCTACAGTACATTCGTTATTCACTTATGAATAAAAATATATAATTAATTTTTTTTTTATAGTTTAAGTGTCATTTATACCACTTATTCATATATGAATAACAAATTAACTGTAACAAAAATCTGATAAATGTTTTATTCATATATGAATATAAAATATGACGACAACTAATACACGTTTTATTCATATATAAGTATAATATATGACGAAAGATGATGTAAAAAATATATTTTAAGTAAGAAAACTTTATTACGTGTCATATTTATATATGAACGATACTTAAACTATAAAAAAAAAGTTAAGTATACGTTTTATTCATAAGTGAATAACTAATGTATTGTAATAAAAATCTGATAGATTTTTATTCACTTATGAATAACGAAAGCTGAAACTTTAAAAAAAAATAATTTTTTTATTTTATCTTAAAACTATATCAATATGGATGTCTATTTATATAGAATAAAAAATTATGAATTTTGATATATTTAAAATAACTTTTCGATAAAAATGGTTTTCCAAAAATAAAAAAACAAAAAAAAAGTATGTTTTTTGTGTATATTAAGGTAATGATTAGCATAGTTTAAGGAAACATGTTTGGTTGGAAAACACATGTTTATCGGTTATCCATTTCTGACGGTACACCTAAGTTTTTTGCGGCAAAATAAATGTGTGGCTGAGAATGATTTCCTCATTCTCAACCTTTTTTTTCTCAATTGAACCCTCCTCTCTCTCTCTCTCTCTCTATATATATATATATATATATATATTATATATATATATATATATATTATATATATATATATATATATATATATATATATATAGGGTTGAGATCGTTTGAGAACTCAAAGTTTTCCGAAAACCCGAGAACTAAAAGTGGAGCGTTTGATCAAAAGTAATTCGTTAAGGACATGATCGTCATCTTACCAATCTCATTTAATATTTAATTTTTTTGTGTTATTTAATATATTAATATAAATATCTAAAAATTTACATCATAAATCAAATTTTCAGATTTTTTTAAAAAATAATATTTTTCGTTTTTTTTAAATGCAGATTTTTTAACTTTTCATAGAAAACATGTATTTTTGAAAAAAAATTGAAAAAAATATATTTTTAAAAAACAGCATTTTAAAAAAAAACAGCATTTTTTAATAAAAAAACTGCAAGTTTTTTAAAGAAAGTTACATTTTTTTTCAAAAAAAAAACTGTATTTTTTAAAAAAAAATAAAATTTTAGGTGCATATATGCATATTTTTTCAAATGCATATATTCATATTTTTTATGCTATAGTATTCGTAAGTAAATCATAAAAAAAACTCATTTTTATTTAGGTTTTGAAGATTTTTTGATGCAAATTCATCGCAAGGTAACGTTTATAGTCCTCATCTACAATAGAATAAGTATTTTAGTCGATACAAAATAAAATATAAAAAACAAAAAAATGCTATAAAATTCCAAAGCGTGTTCATGTCTTCGTGTCAATATTTCCATATTTTCTTCAATTTATCATCTTCACCTCTTCAATATTCATCACAATTTCATCCAAATCTACAAGAAAAAAAAATGATTGATGCAAAAACACTTACCGAAATACATGTGATTTACATGTGATTAACATATGAATCACAGACGATTCACATATGAATTACATGTGATGCATATGTGAATTATATGCGATTTACATGTGAATCACATGTAATTCATATATGAAGTAAATGCGATTTACATGTAATTCATATGTGAATTACATGCGATTTACATGTGAAGCACATGTAATTCATATGTGAATTACATGCGATTTACATATGAAGCACATGTAATTCATATGTGATTTACATGTGAAGCACATGTAATTCATATGTGAATTACATGTGATTTACATGTGAATCACATGTAATTCATATGTAATTTACATGTGAATTACATGTAAATCATATGAATCACATGATTGAAACCCTGATTTATCTTTTTTTAGTCAATGAAAAAAACCTCAACTGTGAATTACATGTTATAACATCCAACAATGAATGACCAAAGTTTCTTACTGTGTATTTTGATATTTAAGCATTCATCTTTTGCAATAGATTGTTGAGAGTACAGATTGACCATGGATTCATACAATTTGAACCACTGTTAAGAGGGGATCCTCCATCCACCTTCAAATAACCATAATTGACATTGTTAAATATTATAACCATATTTGAAGAGCAAACTCATAATAAAAAAAAAGAAAAACAGTTTCAAGCATCATATCATAAATACCTTCTTATGTGAACAAGCATCTATTATTGCTTGCATTCTTTCAAGAAAATAGGTGTGTGCCTTCTTCAACTTATCTATTGGTTCAGCATTCCTATAACAAAACTTGACACTATACCTATTAGCAATGAAAACCATTAAGAGAATAACAATTTAATTTTAAATTATAACCCCTTGGTCATAAGATTAGACATAGATATGATATAAAGAGGAGAGAAGATTGTAAGGACCTTGAAATGCCTGACTGATACACTAAATGAGCCTCATTCATCATTCCCTTTGCTTCCAAGAACAATGCATATGACCCATATAACAAAGTTTTATCCAAACATATTTTAAGCTGTTCAATTTCCCTAAAAAGAGCCTCATAGTTTGGACTAAAATCCATCTGCAAACACAAAAGCGTTTTTTTGTTTTATTACAGAGAAATTTTTCTGTGATGATAAATGAATGTATTACCCACAAATTATTCTAAGTTAAAAACTACACTAAGCTTTATAAAGGGCAATGCAGATAGATAAATCATAAATCCAGGGTTAATTTGTTCATATACACTGCTTAAATTTTGTATGTCAAAGTGATGCCTTGACCTCAAGCAACAAAATATATCACTTCATTTGGAGCTAATGCAGTGCATCCATATAGACAGAGATAAAGAGGGAAACGAGATTACATATATGAGCCAAATCTTGAGAAATCTGATATTGTTTCGATATTCTGAACCATTCTTAAAGGTTTTGATGCAGTGAGATACAAACTCCTAAATCCATTCATTTTGAGATCACTAATACAAATTCCTAAATCCATTCATTTTGAAATCTAATTCACTAAAACAAAGATCAAATTCTAATCAACCACAAGAACATTTATCGAAGCAAGTATCATATCGTTAATTAGGCTGAAGTCGTTGGGAACGATACACTCCTCATATCCAGTGTCGTCATCATCACCGGTCTCTGCGGGCAAGTGAGTGTCGTGTTCGTTGTAATGAATGACAAGATTTCCATATTTTCTTTAATTTATCATTTTTCACATCCTCAACATTTTCCACAAATTCTTCCAAATCTACAAGAAAAAAAATTAATGCAAGAAAACTCACAAAAATACATGTGTGCATATAGACGTAATTCATATGTGATTCACTTGTGATTTATATGTAAATCACATATAATTCATATGAAAGTTACTTGTGAATTACATGTGATTCATATGTAATTCATATGTGATTCACTTGTTGTTTACATGCGAATTACATGTGAATCACATGTAATTCATATGTGAATCACTTATGATTTACTTGTGAATTACATGTGATTATATGTAAATTGCATATGAATCACATGTAACTCATAGGCGATTCATTGTGAATTACATGTAATTCATATGTGAATCACTTGTGATTTACTTGTGAATTACATGTGATTCACTTATGATTTACATGTGAATCACATATAATTTATATGTGATTCACTTGTGATATATTGCTAAAATGAAACAAATTAAAATAAACTATATGGTTAGAAAAAATAAATAATTAAGATGATTTACATGTGAATTACATGTGACTCACATGTAAATCACAAATGATTCACATGTGTCACAGGTGATTCACATGTGAATCACAAGTGATTCACATGTAAATCACAAGTGATTCACGTGTAAATCATAAGTGATTCATGAAGCTGAATCTAAAAGCAATTAAAATAAACTATATGGTTAAAAAAAATTGGTACCTGTCATGCCAGAAACAAGAGAGTTAATATCACTAGTATATAGTTTAGTTACCTTACCTCTCCGTCATCATCATCATTATCATGACACATGTAGATAATATTGATCCACCTTTAAACATGCTCATCAGGTAATTGGTACCTGTCATGACAAGAAAGCAACAAAAAAGAAAAAAATCACAACAATATATAAATAAACATGCTCGTCTACTAATTTATATGTGATTCACTTGTAATTAATATGTGAATCACTAGATAGGTATAGTCTTTCTTCCAGTAAATTACTAAAATATTATGCTAGTTTACATAAATTATATGTGATTTATAATTGATTATTGCCATTGGCTAATTAATCAAATGAACTGACCTTTGAAAAGTCTGAAAATATTTTGCCATTGCCAGACACTACTTGATCAAAGAAACTAGCATGGTTGCGTACAGAAGATTCCAAAGCACTGATGTCTTCATGCCTGATACCAAATGACTATCCACCTGT